GTGCGTAAAGTGCTTTTCGTGGGTGCTGTGGCATAGCCGTGGGACATGCCAGCGATGGCTGTTCCACCACTTTGGACCTCCTGAGCTCAAGGCTTGCCAAGCAGATGTTTGCTCTAATGCCTTTGTGCTTGCAAGGTCGAGGATGGGCCTGACCCCTTCGATGTGTCACACGAGGGGGTTTCCAAACCAGTCCCTAAAAAAAGCCTTCGTTGCTCTAGAAAACCACTGCAATGTTCATCCCGCAAGTCTCTCAGAGGGGGCAACATGTAGAGGGTCTCAGAAAGCTCTCAGGTCCTGGGTGGGAAACAAAAGGGGGCCCAGAGCCTTATTCAGAGCCCGTAAGTTGCACGAAAATGGGCAGAACAAAACCTGGGCTGCCTTCAGGGCTGCTTGCACGCGCTCTCCCCGGCAAGGTGACAAAACCATAGGCAAAACAACGCCAGTGGTGCAATGACGCCCAGCTGACTGGTGACAGACACTCAAGGTCCAGCGCTGTTTAATCACGGCAGACGTGACCTTCCTGTTACTCAGAACTGTCCTTGCGCCAGCTCGCCCCCAGCCACCCTGGCCATCCCGCAGGCCATGACTCAGCCCTGCCTCCCCTCCCTGCCAGGGGCTGCAGAGGGACCCAGCAGGGACCCTCCATGGCTTTGCCGACCTGCCTGTGCATCGGCGGACGGGTTCTGCATGCATACAACCTCTCACAAAAAGGGCTGCCCTTGAAGCCAAACTCATCTGGGCTGGGGAAGGAGCCTCTTGCTGAAGCCAAGGTCAGGGGCGCAAAGCAGCTCCAGCTTTTTCCCTGTACTGTTTGTGCAAGGCGCCTGCTGCTCATGCTTGGCCCGGCTGCCAAGCCCATGGAGCAGTGATTAAACCTCCACGCCTGGCACTGGTGTAGCAAATTCAGGGGGTTTCCAATCAGGCTTTTTCACCTCCCTTCTGCCGGCGAAGGTGGAGTGTGCTGCTGCCACAGATGTGGCTGGCCCTGCGCCTCCGTGTGCTATGGGGCAGCCAAGCTGGCTTCCCAAATAAAGCAGGAGGGCTGTGAGGCTTGAGCTGGGCTTTGCAGGTGATGCCTCAGCCTGCAGGTGTGAGGGGCACGCAGCTGCTTTGTCAGGGGCACACGGGAAGGTGGTGACTGGGTGCCACCATCACCCCTGAAGACACGTGGAGGTGGGTGCTGAACCCCTCCATCATCAGCCACTGAGTCAAAGCCCTGTCTCACCAACCGCCCACCTCTGCGTGGGGTGACCGAGCGCAGTGGAAATACCCTCTGGCTGGGAGGCCGTGCCATGTCGTGCTCTGGCAGAGACCAGCTGACGTGTCCTCTGGTGCTCCATGTCCAGCAGCAGGAGGTGGAGAGCGGCTTGGCTCAGCCATGACCGTGGGCCAAGTAGCGGGGATGGTGCAGCCACAGCACCACGCTCCCACTCCTGCAGGCCTGAAGGGCCAAAGGGCCCTGGACACTGTTGCTGACTCGCTGCTCTTGGTCTCTGCATCTGGATTGCAAGCCAACAGCAAGCACACCACCTGGGTGCTCTCCAAGCTGTGCCCAGTCCCCTGTGGTGCAGCCTGGGCTTGTCACCTTCATGACTGTAAGTCTAGCTGATGGTCCATGCCTGCCGCTCTGGCTGGCACCAGGCTCTAGCCAGACCCATCCCATCTACAGTAGCTTCAACATCAGGAACCAAAGGCCCCCACAAAGTTGGGTCTGAGCCTCGGTCCCTCTGTGGCCGAGCTGAAGGGAACCAGCATGGGCTCGGCACGTGAGCAAGGTTAGCGCACTCTTCTTCAGGAGCAACACCATTTAGGCATCAGATGTCCAAAAGCCCGAAGATCCACCATCTATGATGTGAAATCACCATTATGCTCTTCACTTCATTCATTCTTTGTCTAAACTGATCCTGGTCAGGAAGCCTTTCTAAAGGCTTTAAGAACCTGGCACCGGGAGCTTGAACATCCCAGTGGCATGAAGCCCTTGAAGCAAGGGGGCAGGTGAGTGCAAGTCTCACAGCCCTGATGCAGAGCAGTGACGTACCTCTGCCTGTGGCTTGGCAGCGGCTGCGCAGTCCCATGCAATTGATGCTGGCTCTATAAACACGAGCAGAAAAGGGCAAATACCGTTACCATGGTGGTCTCAGCACTGGGAAAACTCTGCTGGAATGAACTTGCATTCAAATAGTCATTCCACTTCTGCACCATGACTGGTGCAGAGGAGGAGGGAAGGAGGAGGGAAGAAAGTTTTGCCTGGCCGTGTTCACAGAGTTTCATGATCTCCCAGGACCAGCTCTCCAAAGTGGTATGAATGTGTACAGGTCACTTATTACAAAAACCTGTACCTTTTTTAGCCCAAACCTTGTACTCCATCTTTGGTGCCATTTAATATTTTCAGTCTCTAACTACTAGGTACTGCTTAGCTTGTAAGTACTGACTAACATCTAGGGCCAATATAAAACATCTTATGCTGCCTTCACCACCATCCTGGCCCTGGTTACCTGCTCCCTTCCCGAAGCATCAGAGCCCAGTTTGCCCCAGTCACAGCTCCCTCAGCCCCTTATCCAGGCAAGGATGTTAAAGCAGTCAGAGCGGGATGAAGCTTTCTTTTAACATGAGCCGATGCTTGCTCCAGGCTTGGCTTCAGAGTAATTTTCTTTCAGGAGATCGCAACTAGACTGGTGAGTGACAGCACGAAACGCAAGAGATGCTCCTGGACTGGTGTGAGACGTCCAGCACAAAGACAGCCTAGCAAGGAACCACGTGGGCTTGCAGGGCACAGGTTCAGCTCTGACACAGGTGCTCAGAGGTGTGGGACCCCCATCCTCCCTGCAAATATTCAGATCTCAGCTCAACAAGGCCATCAGCAACCTGACGACGCTTTGAAAACATCTGTGCTTTGAGCAGGTGGGTGGACCTTCAGGGGTCCCTTCTCACCTACATCTTTTATTCTAGTGAGAATAACAGCTAAGGCTGTTTAAAGCTGAAATGCCAAGGGGAAGAAGAACAGGTTCCTTTTTTTTTTTTTTGCCTCCATCAGACAAAGCAAGGCTGATTTTGCAACTTCAAGGCAGTTAAGTGCCTGAGGAAGTCTCAGGCACTAGTCAAAGTTCAAGCAAGTGTCACGCCTGGGTGGAACAAGTGTCATTTCTGCATCACTGCTCCATCATCATCAGATCCAGTAAAATTCATCCCACCTTCTTCCTTCCTCCCTTAGTCCCTCATCTCCCCGTCCCAGCTAGGATCACCTCAAGCCCAGTTGCATCAATTCAGCTGTTAGCACGGGCAGACTGCAACAGTTGGAAGACTTTATTATTATTTTTTTAATGATCTTCAACTGGGGGTTCCAAGAGAAGTTAAAACAGTTACCATCCTCAGCCTCTCACTTTCTTCCCTCCCGAGCGCTCTTTGCTATTTGAGTTTATAATGTTCAGTACATGAGAGAAGTAACCTGGCTTTAAAATAAGACCTGGAAAAAAAAGTAATGAGTAAGGAGGGATGACAACATGGAGTTTTAACTGTAGATTCTTCCAACGCTGTGGTTTAGAGCGATCCTTTGCAGACGTAGACGCATATCTAAGAGGGGCACAGACCAGCAGTTCAGGAATAGGACCAAGGGCCTGAAGCATCTCCAGGTGGCTTTAGCACAACAGCACTAGGAGGATGAAGTTAGGACTTCATGGTGACTGTCCACATGCAAAAGGCCAGCTCTCCCACCGAGTTCTCAGAAGTGAACCACACAAGCATTAAACAGTAAACCAAAACATATGGAAAATGGCTAGATATTCAGAGGGAAGCAGCATGACCCACTTCAGCCCACAGAGCCAACTTAGAGCCCAGACAACAGCAATGCCTTTCTCAAAAGCGGAAGATGTAGGATCCTATACATGTGATCAGCCTCTGCCCTCATTCCATGACAGGCACGAGCCAGAATCAGGATGGGGCAAGTGCCATGCTGGAACAAGTGTGTGCATACACAGAGGACACTAGGAAACACTATCCCTTGCTTGGCAAAGCAAGCAGGAAAACCGGTGTCAGAATTTTGAGAACAAGGCTGCTTGGATCCACGTGCCATTCAGTGGAAGTCTGTTATTCTGAACCCAGTGAGCAAGATACAGCCTTTTAAAGCAGGCCAGAGCAAACATCCAGCCACCAGCTCTTCTCTCCACTCAATGCTATGTTTGCAGAAAGTAGCCAAGATGCATAGTTAGAGGCCAGCAAGCTTTCTGAGCTTTAGGCTTTGAAATGCAAGTGCTTGCAAGCAGTTTGTCACATTAGGTACTGAGCTACAATGTGGGATGCACCAGCGCTGTTAAAAACTGCATATGCTGTTGTCTCTGGGTCAAGCAGCTCTGCTTCCCTGCTACAAAAATGGGAAGCCAGGGGCTAACCCATGGTGTCACCACCACACCCCTAAGCGAGAAGGGGAGGCTGCCCTGAACCAGTTTTTGTCTTGAGAAAAACATCCACCTAAGACCATGTGGGGGCATCCTCTTATAATCCACCTTTATTTGTAAAAATCCACATATAAAATCTTCAGTTTCCTTTTACAAAAACAAAAAGGCACATAAAACTACTCATACTCTCATCCCCATGGACTGATGGTTGGACGCTCCCCCCACCCCAACCTGCCCCTTGCTTTCTCCTCCAGTCCATGTTTCTTCATGTTTCCTTTAGTTTCAGCTCAATCCTGCCCAGGCACAGTTCTGCACTTGCAAAGATGAAGTACACACACAGGGGAGATGGTGGAGAGGTGGCATGGGCTGTGCGTGGAATGTTTTACAGGCGCTTTTTAGTAGTAGGTCTCTTTTTCCACCCAACCTAAAGGAAAAGGAGGGAGAAAGCAGAGTTAGTCTTAAGGCAGACCAAGTATGAGGTTCACGAGAGCTCCTTTTAGGCTCTGAAAACTTGCACGGTAGCACCTGAGCTATTAAGTGACCCGTCACAATAGAAAAATCTTGCCAAATTGTTGATGTGCTGCACTTTCAGATCTGTTCCAGCTTTCTAGAACTACCCAAGCATTAATCAGTCTTGTCTTGGTACTTTCATATACTACAGGAGAATGCAGGGAGAGGGACAGAGAAAGTCCTTAATTTGAACTAACTGCACTATTAATGTTGAGGAAGGGAAAACACAGCAAAATATACCCCTGCGTAGTGCTCGGCACTGGGTGTCCCTGAGCATTGTCAGAGCTTCTACAGAGCTCAGCAGCATGAAGAGGTGGGGAAAGAAACACAGATTAGCAGCATATTCTTACCACCAGGGTTGCGTCTGATGATGAGCTTTCTGACTTCATCATACAGGAATATGAGGAGGGAGTATGGGAAAGCGCAGAACCACCAGGTTGGCCTGTTTGGGAGAGGTAATGGTGAGAACAGAGGCAGCCGAGATGCTCTTCACCTAGCAGAGCTGACTTGATGGCACAGCAGAGTGCAGGAAGGCTGGCATGTCCCAGCTTGCCAGTGCGCCAGCTCCCACAAGGCTGTAGTTCAGCCAAGAATCCTCCAAGCCAAGAATTACCACCAAGTCCTTCTGCTGCAATAGGTTAATCCACTTTTGGATATTAATTCCAACACGAGGTGTGTCATAGCACCTTTGCTCATCTCCATACTGGCACCTCCCCACCTATTAAACTAGCCCTATTTCCTCTAAGTACGCATAACCTTTGTGCCCACAGCCTTGGCTCACTTGAACGGCGTTGGTTTCCCTTATGATTTACACGTGCTAACATCTAGCTGCTGCAGGCATTGGGCAGGTGCCAGCTTTCCTGTTAGGAAACACTCACACTTCAGCACCAAACTCCAGACAATGCTTCTGAATGGAACGCAAGATGTACCAGGGTTTTTTTTTGCCATGAAAATTTCATGGCATTTAAGCCAGAGGACTGTTTGAAGTTTGAGACTAAACTCTGCCATGAAGTGTTGCAATGCTGTTGGGCAATGCTTTGGATGTTGGCACCCTCCCAACCGTTAGGAAAGTTACTATGCACCAACTGGTCATCTGCACCTACATAGCATCTTTCAAAAGACTTTACTACTTGTCCTATTTCTTTGGAAGGTAGAAAAAGGCACAAGATGTCATCACTAGTTCTTTAGTAAAGAAGAGTCAGCTGGCCTATGTTTTGGAGCAATTCAACTGGCTTTCTTTGGAAGTGCAGTCCCCTATCCAAAAAAAAAAATACCCCATGCAAGTAAGTACAAGGGCAGCTGCACTACAGCACACTGGTACAGCTGAAGTTGTGTTGCTAATTTTTAGTGGGGCACTGAACTGCAGGCTCCCTGTAAGCATGCCCACAAGCAGTAAAGCAAAGCAAACCCCCGGTGTGCCACACTACAGCAAAGGATCACTTGCCACCTCTAGCCTGAGCTCTTCTGGGTTAAGACTAGGTTTCATGCTCCGCAAGCTTGCAGCTACTTTTATCCATCTCCCCACCCAAGCACTATTGTTCTGTGGTACAGTCTGCTGTACAAAAAAGATGATGCAGCTTACTTGAGAGGGTACATCCTTAGAGCAACATCCATCCCTGGGCAGTAGGACAGGAAGGCAGCCAGAGCAGTCTCCTCAAAGAGACCAAATATTAAGATCTTGTTCCTAGAAGAAACAGGAAAGCAGTCAGGGACAAAGTACTTTCACAGATGACATCCTAAAACACACTAGTTGCCACATGGTAGTGAATGGAAACAGACATTCTGGTCTAGCCCAGAAGTCCATCAGGTGGGGACTATCATGCCATCCAAGCTGATGGCACAGCTGTCACAAGGGTCTTTTATGTCTCTAGACAGAGATATTCTGGTTCACAACTAAGTCAACCAGCAATTGCTTTCATCACAAATTCAGATGGAGGCTGAGGTTCATGCCACCAGATCGAGACATCAGCTGCTCTCCTGCTGCACAAGGCTGTGTAGAGTATGTCACTGTCCTTTGAGGTGGGCTAGCTCCCACCTGTGCCAGCAGAAGTCAGCATTTCACTTTGTCCAGCCTGACGACTGTAGCAGGTACTACAAGAAAGAGAGCATCCAGTCCCTCTTTTATCTACTACCAAGACACCAGACTGTTCAAGACTTATGCCAAGATGCTCAGACACTGCTGGGACGAAGAACTAGAATGCCGTGTGCTGGAGAATACACTGAGTCTAGTTCTAAATCCTCCATGGACAGCCTGACTTACTTCATCCCCTGCTGGAAGACAGAGTTTCTTCGGGTCTTACAAATGATCAAGTCTGCCCACTGCACAACCACAATGCTGACAAAGAAGGCTGTATGGCAAGTGAACTCCACTATTTTCCTCTGTTCGTAGGTCTAGGATGCAGACAAAGCAGAGAGCATTCGTTCAGACATGCTGCCTTTGCTCTCTGGTGCTCACACCAAGTTCAGCAGGCATTAGTATTCTGGCTGGCAGCCTCTAAGCTGCGCCTCAAAACTTACCCATTGCTGCCCATAGCTGTCTTCCACATCGTTAACCCATCGGTCATCCCACTGAACTCTGATCCCTAGCAAGCCAGAAGGCCAGAACCCATTCTCTGCCATGATTACAAAATAGGTGAAGAAACCTCCAAGGGCCTGGATCATACCTAAACAGATAAGAAAGGATGATAAAACCGATGAAGCTACTGTGCAGTGCAGTTATAACAGAAAGCAGTTTGCAGGAGACCCCCAACCACCTAAGAAATTACTCCTTGTGGGGCTCAGTCTCCCAAGCAGCAGCTATAGAAATAGTTCACACGAACATCAAACTCAGCTGCTACCCTTTTGCTGAGCAGTTTCTGCTCCCAACTTTGTACAGAGTTACTTCTGTTCTGCCCTGTGCTGCGATGGCATGGTACTCAAGGACACAAGATAAAACTCCCTTTGTATTCTCATTAAGCCTTGCCCACCCACCCCCAACTCTTGCAAAATACAGTCAAGAAGGTTCCCAAGGTCTGCTGCAATTAAGCATGAGCTCCCATCCTGTGAACTGGGCACGTCTCTGTAGCTGCCTTTAATCAAGGCTCCTAATACTGTGTGTTTAGGGATACGCTGGAGAGAATCCTTTACTTCTAATTAAACTAACAATGGGATCTATGTTCTTGCTGAACAAGTTTGAACCAGAGGAGAGCTGGTTGTCGGCCAGTTCCTTTACAGCGCCACGCAATTAAACAAAGTTACTGTGAAAGCGATTCAATGGATCAAGCTGCACAAGCCACCGCTATGTGCCATGGGGGCAGAATCACGGCAAGCTCTTAACAACCCGAGGTTCTGGTTTACACATCCCAAACCTCAATCCTACCAAAATAAGCAGAACAGTCACTGACCCAGGATGTGTACAACCCCCGCTACCACCGAGTTCAGATCAGTACCAGAGAAAACAGAGCAGCTTACCAATCTGCCCATAGGCCATGCTGATCAGCCGTTCATTCACCAGCTTGTCTGTTTTCGGATTTCTGGGCTGCCTCTTCATGATGTCACTCTCTGCTTGCTCATATGCCAGGGAGATAGCAGGGACCTTTGGAGGGGGTAGGACTGCTGTTAGAACCGTTTCAATTTTCCACTGTATATGGCCTTCCCCGGCCCATGTTTTCAGCCTGAGAAACAGCGCTGCCCAAAAGCCCTAGCTGTAGTATTCGGGAAGGACCTTACCCCCTCCCCCTCCCCAGTTTGTCCTTAAATGGAACTGAAGGATCCTCAGACTCTGAGAGCCACGAGACAAGGGAGTGTGGATTAAGAGAGTATCAAATGGTCACTTATTTTAAATCAGAACACTAGCGAAAGCTGTATTTAAGCATTTTCCTTCCACCTGTCCTTTCTTTAGGGTACCTAAGATCATCCACATTACTTCTTGAGACAAAAAAAAGACATTCACCATGTCAGTGCCCAAGTCAATGCAGAGGATGGTGACTGTTCCCAGTGGAAGGGGTATGTTCGCAATGATGAAGATCAGGAACGGCGTGATTTCAGGAATGTTACTGGTCAAGGTGTAAGCAATAGACTTCTTCAGGTTATCGAAGATCAGACGCCCTGGGGCAAGGAAGAGAGAACAATGTAACTCGCGTATCAGCAGAAGGCAGCTTCAGTGGTAACACTGAAAGGCAAAATGCTAGTGCAGCAAATTGAAGAGTTCTCTTGCATGTAAGGGTGAGACTGTGTGCTCCGTACACAGCATCACCTATACAGAGTAATATTTTTGGTCACAGCAATCAGGGTTCACTGCATACAGCAGTAGGATACTAAGCCCTGGTTTCTGAAGATCATCAAGAGTCCCTGGAGGTACCCTCTGTTCTGCTCCTGTTCGAGAGCTATTGCTCCATCAGGGAGGAAAACGTGTGGACTCAGCTGGCAAAGATGACCGTAGGGTCAGTGTTGGGCGAAACGACGAAGTAGCTTTTGTTACTCAGCTGCTTCCTACTGTTACCCATCCCAAAGGGTCATGCTGGTCCCACGGAAAGGGAGAAGACTTTGAAGGGAGGAGGAAAGCGCCACCCTCCTTGGAAAAAACACTTGTCATGGAGACAATGTCAAATAAAGGAGAGCCCTCTAGACGCCTCTATTTCAGATGGAATCAGTAAGTAACATTGCCGAAGCACGCCACTTCACCACCACTGCACACAAGTTATAAACTCACCTTCTTCAACCCCAGTGACAATGGAGGCAAAGTTATCATCCAGCAGAATCATGTCAGCTGCCTGCTTGGAGACATCCGAGCCAGCAATACCCATAGCAACACCAATGTCAGCCTTCTTCAGGGCTGGGGAATCATTCACACCGTCACCTGTGACTGCTACAATAGCACCCTAGTCACAAAGAGAGGGATAGAAAGACTGAGCTCATCATATAAGATGTTTTGGGCAGAAAAGCTTTCTCCTGTCTTTCAGGAGATGAAGCATAAAAAGCTATTTCACTTTGCTGTAAGGAGACCTCAGTTTCTCCTTGTCCTCCCCCGACACCTTTCCCTGTTCTGATCAGGCTTATCAGAGAACCATGCTGCTCTCTCCAGAGGAGATGCTGGACAATATATGAACATGTTGAATCCTCCTCTCCCAAGCACTTCCAGAGCATTTAGGAATTAAGTGTGTTAAACATCCCAGGATCTGAAGAAAGCCTCAGTACAAACTGAAGATGTTTTCCTGCATGACCCTTATATTTATGTATTGTAGAGCAGCCTGACATCAGTAGCTGAAGGCTGCTGACAGACTGAGATCTAGTCTGGCCCTTTACCTGAGGGCACTGAGAAGACAAAGCTCTGCTACTTCAGAAGGCAGCACTGGTTGGTAGTTTTTATGTGTGTATATATATATATATGTCTGGGGATTTCTCCAATATGGAATCCTTGGACTCCCTCTCTTTACCTGTCGCTGACAGCCTTCCACAATTATAAGCTTCTGCTGAGGAGATGTCCTGGCAAAGACAATTTCTGTATGATGAATCAGGATGTCATCCAGTTGCTCACCAGTCATGTCCTTCAAATCTGAGCCATGAACAACACAAGCTTTGGCATCCCTGCAATCAAGAGACAATATAATGTTTTACTTCACAAGTTAAACTAAGTTTTTCATTAGTTGTATTTGCCCCATAAAGCTATGGCTCTTCAGTGCTGTAGGGAAAGACCAGCTCCTGCTGTGACTAAATACTAATCCAGGCAGCCTCTGCACAGAAGTTTGATGCTCCAAGTTTAAAGGTAGATGGGGAACAAAGAAAGAGACAACAAGACAGTGCCAAGCCATGGACAAAAAGCACCATGAGCAGACTAATTCTTTCTACAGCTTTTTAAAATGCATCAAGCCAAAGACTAGTTGTTTCCACAGCTCTTGGCCTCTCTGCAAGAGAGGAACTTCTGGCTCAGGCAGTTAGCTTCCAGTATCATAAGAGATGCTATGGTCTTCTGCAGGCAACCCTTTTTGCAACAGACTGATGATCTACACATGGCTCTTCACAGAGAGAGCTCACGCTATGCCAGTTCAGACTATTTTACACTCTTCAGCAACAAAAGCATGCAACGTTATATTTAGACTGGTTTGGTACCCTACATGCTACAGCAAAATACCACCTCTCTAACCCAGCATACCATCCCTTATAGGTCTAGGAGACTATCCATGCAGCTCATGACATCACCCAGTTTAGACAGGGAAATTCCTTCCCCACCCTTACAGCCAGCTGCCAACCTGCTCAGTCACACAGCCCAGCGATCCCCAGCCTGCAGTGCTAGGTTGTGAAGTTACCCTCAAAAAAAAAAAAAAAAGAATTCAGCCACAATACTTGTCTTCCCCAAGCAATTCATTCCACAGGGTGTCTCTATTCACAGTTCATAAGCTACATGGCTACCCTCCAGCCCAAACACAGGCTGGGTCAAGCTAAGCAATGCAGACAGCCCAGCCACTCTGCAAACAGCCTGCTTATGCCAAAGCACATTTTCTGAGGATGTCTTAGTTCTGCACCAGGCTATGAAGGCAAACATTAACCCCTAAGAGGAAGGAATTCTGTTTTCACATTTATTCTGCTTGTAGCTACTGACTAGTGTCAATTCCTCTACCCAGCCCAAGTCCTGCTCCCTTTGCCCACCTGCAGTCAGACCCAGAAAACAGTCTGAGCGCAAGAGGGACAGAACAGGGTTTTGAGTGATCAAATTTATAGGTGGCATTTCAGCTCTTTTCTCTAAACAGTATAAAACAGTTAAACAGCATTTACTTTCGGTAGCCCATTCAGTCTGGATTGCGACTAACAAACTAGGCGTTTTCTTTTTACCAGAGTTTTCCCATGAACCTGTAAGTTATCTTACTAAATAAGCTTGACTAAGTATATGTTTGGGGGCAAAGCTAGACCTAGCCTCTATTTAAAGATCCGGAATCACAGGAGTACGCAGTTTCAGGCTCTGCAGCAGCATTGCTCAAAACAATCCCCAAACAGCCACCTCCCTCCCCCATGCCACTTTAGATACTTTTTCCTGCCTACTACATTGGGCCAGTACATGGTGCTTGTGTAGCAACATGAACCCGGGAGGGCAAGTGTTCAGCTCGGGGAAAAAGTTAGCCCCCAGAAGACTTCACCCAACCAGCTGTTTCTTTCCCCCAGTGTGGGGACAGACCATCAGGACACACAGCTACGGGGCAGAGAAAGGACAGAAGAAAATGCATGAATTTTCTGTACAGGGCTTACTCCTAACTACTTCCCACACACAAGAGACATGCACATTCAAGACAGCCTTGTGCATTCCTCACATAACTCATGACACACATTGAAGAGCCGCAACATGCTGAGCTAAGCAGATGCCAAGCTTTTCATGTCTAGGGAGAGATGCTGAGAGATTATCCAAGGCAAGGAGAGAGGCAAATGCTTAATTCTTTGAACAGTTCTGGCCTTCCCCACCAGTCAGTACCTAGGGTTGACCTGGCTGACAGGAATGTTGAGTCGAGCAGCAATATCTTCTACTGTTTCATTGCCCTCAGAGATGATGCCGACACCCTTGGCAATGGCTTTGGCTGTGATCGGATGGTCTCCAGTAACCATGATAACCTGAAATGCAAACAGACTGCTGTGAAAGCCTTGCCTGTACTGCAGAGCAACACTGCCCAAGAGGCAGAGTCCCCTGAGACTGAAGAGGCCACGTGGCTTTTGTTCTACTCACGAGCCCTGGCACAGAGCAAGGCTGAGGTACAGGCAGTAACCTGTTACCAGTATGCAAGGGGTTGAGGCGGATGGAAGACAAAGAAAATTGTTAATCCTGAGTCAACAGATCCAGTTCCATTTCCAGCCTGTGCTTCGCTCTCTCATCACAGTCAGTACTGTGGGACATGCAGAACACACCTGAGCCAAATCACATGCTCTGGGACACCATGCCATCAGCACCTGCCAGTGCCCCAGCAGTTTGGAGTCCAACTCATTTTTCAGTCCATTAACATACAATCACTTGTATTTAACTCAGAAATGAAGCCTGAAGTAGTACTGGTTAAGTCTTGATCAATACTTCTCTTCACTCACTCACATTACAGCAAAGACACAGAGTAAGGGAAGTCACAGAGTAAAGGAAGTCCTTTATATCCACAGGTATAGAACAAGGCTATTTTCAACCCAGGAATAAACTACCTTGATCCCAGCGCTTCTGCATTTGCCAACAGCATCTGGCACAGCAGCACGAGGAGGGTCAATCATAGACATCAGTCCTACAAAGCAGAGTTTGTCTACAGGAAAGTTCACTTCGTCTGTATCAAACTGGAAGCCTTCAGGGAACTGATCATCAGGCAGAGCCAGGTGACAGAATCCTGTAACACATCAAACCCGTGTTTACTCTGTTCCTACATATCAGGAGGCAAAGAGCAAACGCTTATTGCTTCTGCAAACAGCTACACAAGAATAACAGGACAGCATCAGAGGTTTAGCCAGGGTTATTGAGGCAGAGTCATGCTCATATTCTGATAACTAATAGCTGTTGCTAGGTGCCCAGACACAGCTTGGTTCACATGCAGTGGAGCAAATCTAATACCATGTGGCCCCATGGAGACTGAAGGTCCCAAATGCTTTGCTTCATTTTGATCTAGGTGACCCAGCTGCTGGGCAAGACAAGACCCTGCAGGCTGCCTTTTAGATTAAAGGCTAAAGGCAGGACTGTTCCTATATGAATTGCTGAAGTGACCTTGACTCAACACTATGGTTACACTGCAGGAACAGACTACAACCCTCCACTTAATCTGTGGGAACTCTGCACAGGAGCATGAAGGACAAATCTTTTCCAATTTATTAAGGCTGCTTTTCCTTACCTAACACTCTCTCCCCGAGGCCTCCCAACTCAAGGTAGGCGTTCTGAAAAGCATCTTTCATTTCCTCATCCAGAGGTTGCTCTTTGCCATGAATAAGAATGGTGCTGCAGCGATCCAAGATCCTCTCTGGAGCTCCCTTCATCACCAGCAAGTAACGGGATTCTGATGGATTTGCATTTTTGTGGATAGACAGCTAGGGTGGAAGAAATGAAACCGTTTTATAGACAAGTACTGTGAAGGTCATGAGTAAATCACCATCGCTCAGTGTTTTGTGACTACAGTAGCTCAGGACAGTTTGTGATATTCTGCTCTAGTTTTCATTTACCGGCACATTAAAGAGGTTCACAAACTCAGGAATTACTATGTATTCTTTAACATTAACATATAACCACAGATGTTGCAATGGCCTTTTTTGTATCCACATTCCACCTATTAAGGTCATTCCCCAGCAGTACATTCCTATTCCCAGATTTGAGTTCTTCCATTCTCCGTGCGCTACTGCTGCACAGGTGGAAAGCATGTCTGTCTAGTCTTTTCTCAGCAGCTGACACCTTAGTGTCAAGGCAGCTCCAGAAGCTCTTACACAGTGTAACTAAGTATAGTCCATTAACTTAAATTTATAGTCTCGAGCAGTCTGCAAGCAAGTAATGGCTAGACAAGATTTTGGTGCTAAAAGAAGTTCTGAGGCACACTGCGTGCAAATTTACGTAAGTGCTTCACACAGCAGCTCTCCCTCAGGAGGACACACGCTTACCTGGTACTTGTTGGTAGAGTTAAATGGTATTTCCACCACTTTGGGATACCTTTCTCTCATCTCCTTGACAGAACCACAGCACAATTCAATGCATTTCAGAAGTGCAGACTCAGAGGCATCTCCTGCCACTGCTCTCTGAGGAAAGAGACAATTATCAAAGCGTACATCCCAGTGGACTCACCACAGAAGATCAGATATTTAAAAAAAGTGTATTCATCTCAGCCCAGTCCCAGCTTCTACATAACATGATATGAGAGCAAAGAATAATTAATTCTATTATCTGGTACTGACAAATACTGCATTTCAGAATGCCAGGCCTCCCCAGCCTGAGAGAGCAGCAGTCTTCTGGTGCCAAAGTCAAGAAGCCCTTTTAAAGGGCAGAGAAAGTCAGATAACCAGGTGCAGACAGAGAAAGAGAGGCTGGAGGGTAAACTTTGAGAAGAACTGCTGTAAGTTGCTTGCCATGAAGAACAGCAAATGTGAGATGAAGACTGATGACAATGCACACAGAAAACACTTGCGTGTACTCTCCCACCCCAACATAAGATCAGCTTATCAAGCCTCTGGCAGAGAAGATTTAATCTGTCCACACCTCCTCCCCTATAAGGTTAGCACTGGTAGAGACTGTAGATGAGGGTTCTCAGCCCTGGAGATCTGTGTGTGCTCAATGTCCTACTTGACATTATCTCCTTTGCTGCAATTTAAACCAAATATTTCTTGCCCTTCTGGTCTCTGGTCTTTGTCCATGAGAATTTTTTTTTTTTTTTTTTTTTTTTTTTTTTTTTTTTTTTTTTTTTTTTTTTTTTTTTTTTTTTTTTTTTTTTTTTTTTTTTTTTTTTTTTTTTTTTTTTTTTTATTCTGCTTTTTGGCATCTAAAGACTTTAAGACTCCCATCTAATGAAGACTTAGGAGGGGGGAAGAACTCCAGCTCTTTATCTTAGGTCTAAAAAACATGACCTGAAATTATAGTCAGAGGAGTACCAGGGAAAAGGTTTGTTCCATTCATTTCTATTACCACAGCATCAGAACACCCTTGGGAAGAAGTTTACTAAGCAACATGACTATTATTTGACAGATAATAAGCACTGTACAGTTAATTTCAGCCCTGGCTGGGTCACAGTTCAGAAGCAGGAATCTAAATTGATGTTATGCTGGCATTTGCACCAGCGCCGAACCAGCAAAAGCTCAGAAAAAACCCAACCCAAGACAACTTGCCAGTGAGAACAGACTGGCTAAAGACAGTCTCCCACGACTGCTGCTCCCCCAGCTCTGGTGTCTACTTCTCCCAGCTCCCAGAACCAGGTGTTTGTAGCTTTTAAGTGTACAAATGCCAGAGATAGCGATTCTTGTAACAGCCAGACATTGGGAAATGCCTAGGAAAGCTTTCCGGTCTTTCCTAGCCCTGTCTGAAGTATCTCACTTCCCAAACAGACTGTAGATGCTAGTGGATGGCAGAGAGTCTGCTGTGGGAAACGTGTCTTCCCAGTCCCATCTCCTCTGCCCATAGCACATCTCCTAAGAGTCCTAGACTGCAGAAAATACTGAGAGTGGCAGATACTTCTATTTTGCAGGTTCCTGTGACCCACAGGACATAATCTCACTCTCATTATGGGAGGGCAGTGGTGGGGAACAGGACAAATGTTTCTTTTAGGAACTCACCTTAAGAATTGGTACATTTTCCTGGCTGGCCTGAAAGACAGCACGGTTGCAGAGACCTGCAACTCTGGACAAAGCAGTCCAAGTAGCTGAGCTCTTGTCAAAGGAAGCACCTGAAAGCAGAGGAAGAATGTCAGAGGCCCCCCCCAAAAAATCACATAAGCCCAAAATACCACAGGCTTAAGAGCAAGAAGCTTTTACCTCAGAAATAGGAAACACTTAAGAGCCTGTTAGCACACTACATCTCTTTCAATCCTCCTCCCTTCCCAGGTACTTGATGGGCAGCTGATTATTTTAAGACCTGAAGGTGAAATAGCAACAGCACAAGAGAACACCTCTGCTTTCAAGATTTCAGTAACAGCTGCATCTAGCAGCAGCAGCGGCCATGCTGACAAAGCCAAGGAATTCTGGACAGATAACATTCTTTCAGAGGGGCTTGAGTAAGGGATGCTGGGTTCCACCTCCAGGTTGTCTTACTTTATCCATCATCCAGGAACTGGATGACATAGCTCCCAAAGGAACAATGCCTATTTAAAGAAAGATATTGCTTCTCCCATGCTGGCTCTTAAGTTGGCTTCAAGGGAGATGAATTGAACAGACAGTTAACTGATAAGCTAATGTACTTCCCATGAAGTGAAATCTTCTAGGTTTATTTCTACTGCAGCCAAGCCAACCATGCCAGGCCAAAACAGAGTGCTTCCAAATAACTATTTATAGTTTGCTACTTTGCACTAGTGTTAAAGACCAAGAACAGTAAAGCAGCTTTTTAATGTGGCTCAGACAGGCACAATGTTTTGGAGTGGTTGGGGCAGGGTGCAGCAGCACCACTGGAAAAAGTTTATGCTAATAATGTGCTGCAAGCACAACATTTCACAAGGTAGATGACAGCTAGGAAACTCCTGAATTTGGTTGTACCAAACAGTTCTGCACAGATTAAGTAACTCTCAATTGCACAGCACACTGAGATTTCAGATTCTTATCAGTATCTAGAAGAAACTTCCTGCTGAAGTCTTACAGTCACTTCACTCATTGCTACCACTCTGCAAACACAACCAGGATGTTCTGGGAAAAACCCTGTTCAAGGGCAGCCATCTAGTTCAACAAGGGATATCTCCATCTGCGTCCAGTCTCAAGTAATTTATTATCAGGGTCAACACCTCTGCTGTTCACACTTTCAGCAGACTTAAGATGGGGCAATTTAATCAGATACATTTTGGCAAAAATAATCGGGTACTCTGAAGTACGTAACAGCAAATATTTCTACGTACAGGACAAACATAAGGAGCTGAACATTCAAGAGGCTCAAATTTCAATGGAGTAATTCTGAGCAAAAGCAGAGTTTGGAGTTTAAGGATTAAACAGAACTGTGGTACAGTGCAAAGCCTTCTGTGTCACCTCAAGTCTTTTAATGCTCATTGAAGATCATATCTTAGAAGTCCTTGCACTGTGAACTTCACTTGGAGAGCTAGAAACATGGGTTCTTAGAAGTACAGGTAGCCCCAGAAAAAGCCATTTTTTTAATGAGATCCTTCAAGCGCAAAAAGACGGTCTTACCACTCTGGTTCTCTGTAGTATCAGCCTCATGAATCTGATTGTCAAACCACATGTGTGCAACTGTCATGCGATTCTGTGTCAGTGTCCCTGTTTTGTCAGAACAGATAGTGGATGTGGAGCCCAGGGTTTCCACAGCTTCCAGGTTCTTCACCAAGCAGTTCTTACGAGCCATACGTTTGGCTGTTAGTGTCAGACATACCTGGAGACAAGGAAGAAGACAACAGGTTAGATGTGCTTGTGCACTAACACATTGCTACCCAACTCACCGTGGGCATGGAATGACAACCAGCTTATGTGCCCTGTAGTGATTCCGTAACTTCATGCTCACCCTGCCAGTGCAAAATAAACAGCAACATTTAGGCCCAGCTGCTACATTTAAATGACACATTTTCCTCATCACAAAGCCACCAGAAAAGGACTTGCAAGGCTTCAGTCTCCTGCTTCTCAGTGCATTAGGAAGGAAATAACATGCCCTGGACTAACATTTTAGTTAAAGTTGCAGTTCCCTAATCATAGGAACTTTCAAAATAGGTGGAGGCAGGCCACATACGAGAAGGCCCAAAATAGCTCTGGTGATAGGGCTGCAACTTGCTGGTGTAGGAATTGAGCAGCCCCAGCTACCCTTTCTCAGAGGCTCTTATCTGGTTCCAGCTCCCAACTGTTCATTCCCCAGCTCAGTTGCTGCTCTGCTTCCTAAGACTACATGGATGCCCCTATCCCTGTCCACCACCACCCTCTACGCAGCTGCGCACACCTAGATACTCGCACCATCTCTTTGGGAAACCAGGCTTACAAGAATCTCTGCCAGCTCCCAGATCAAAAGCTGAGACTAGAGTGAAACTTGCTGGATGCTCTGCCAGCCCTTCAGGGTTGGAAGGGCTGGTGTGCATGTGGGTGCAGAAACCCTGAACAGTTGTAACAGGAAGGCCCCTTCTTGCCACAGAAAAAGGCAAGACAAGTCCAGAACCCCTAGTCTTGCTCACTTCAATTCTATGATGCCAAGCCTCTGTGCAGGTCTAGCTTAGGGACCCATCTTCATTAGAAAAACAGCTGCAGAACTTGACATTGATTTGGGCAACTAATCTGACTGCACTGAATTTATAAAATCTAGCCCTACACACTCACCACACAAAGTACCTTCCATTACTTTAATGGTTACCTCTGTGAATGCACACTGAGCATGAAGCACTCCACTTACTTAAGAACCATATATGTAACTCATTCAATCTTTTTTCCAACTTCACTCACCGTGACTGTTGCAAGCAGCCCCTCAGGGACATTGGCAACAATGATCCCGATGAGGAAGATTACAGCCTCCAGCCACGTGTACTCAAGGATGAGTGAAAGGATGAAGAAGGTGACACCCAGGAACACAGCCACTCCAGTGATGAGGTGGATAAAGTGCTCAATCTCCGTGGCAATTGGAGTTTTCCCCCCTTCCAGTCCAGAAGCCAGACTGGCAATACGGCCCATCACAGTGCGATCCCCAGTGCTAATGACAATGCCACGGGCAGTGCCTAGAAGAGAGACGGGTTTTAGAAAACAAAAACCCTTCCCAAAACACACTAAACAGTTTGTTCAGCTTGTCCTAGAATTTAGCAAGCTTTACCCAAGACAATGCAGGTAGGCATTTCAATGGCCAAAGTCTCCCACCGCAGCTTTTTTTACTCTCTAGCAGCATGAGAAATAAATGGAGATATGTGCTGCACAGGATTCCCGTGTGACTGGCTGCGCTGTATGCCCTCTCCCTTCTACCCCAGGGAATCAGGTGCCAATTGCATAGGGAATTAGAGGAAGCCATCTTCAAGAAGTAGACAGTGTCCTCTTCCCTCCTTTAAGGGGAGGCCCATTTTCTCCCCCCAAAGCTCTTGAGAAAGATCAGGAATAACCCTCAGTACTGCAGGGTTAGGTTTTTTTGGAGGGGAGGACAGAGCAGGGGGCAGCTTGCTCCTCAGAATCTGTCAGCAGAGGACACAATAGGAGTCAGGCAGAATTCTCCACTGTCACTGAACAGTTACAAACCCTGTGGGCATGGAAAAGATGCTCTGGGCTTCAGCACAAAGAATACCTACTACCATAATCTGAGCTGCAACAGGAAGTTCTGCCAGAGATGTTTGAAATTCCTGCTTTCTGCAGCAGCTGTATTATTTCTTATAGCTCTGCCTAACCATCTTGGTTCACATTATGTTATCTGCACTTTAACGCTGCTGTAATAAGGCAGTCATGCTCAAACACGCAGCACATAACTGCTCCTCCTAGAGGAGCAAGAAAGAAAAAGTAGTGCTGTGGAGTCTTCTTTGCCCATTGTACAATATTGCAGTTGGAATGGGCAAAGCCTTTGCTGGGAACTTCTAGCCTGCTCTTGCGTGGTAGGAGTAGGCCACCAACTAATACACTAAACTCACACAGTGTTTGCATTGCTTACCTATACAGTTCACTCCCTAGCATTATTAATACTTTAGGGAAGTAAGAGAGTCGCCTACCTTCTACACAGTTGGTGGAAAAGAAGGCAATGTTCCTAGTCTCCAGCGGGTTCTCATTGGAGAAGTCTGGAGACCTGGTCTGAGGCTCTGATTCACCAGTAAGTGAGGAGTTATCCACCTACATGGGAGAGAGTACTTAGACATACACAAGCAGGCAGACGCCTTCAGCAATGAAAGGAGGTAACACACTAGGCACTCCCCCCACCCTTCTCTTCCACTCCACCACCCATTCACAGCATAGAAGACATTCTTTGAAACCAGACTAATTCATCATCCTTCACAATGAAGTTTTCAGACAGCCTGTCACTGCTGTACCTTGCAACCATGTGCAGATATGATCCGAAGGTCAGCTGGAATTCTGTCTCCTCCTTTCACCTCCACTAGATCTCCAACTACAACACCTTCAGCATTTATGCTGATCTTCTCACCATTTCTTACTACAAGAGCTTGCTGAAAAACAGTAAAGAAACAACCTGTGTCAAAAGCAACTCTTATGAATGGGTTTAAGAGATCTGAGTATCTTAAAATAGTTGTGCTATGGTTCTACAAGGTTTCTACTTGTACTAAGATGGTTATCTCCAATACATATGTTATTTAAGAAAAATAGCTCCTTTTGTTTTCTTGATATTGAAATTCCTTGTTGCCAAGGTGACAGTAAGATGGTTAGGTATGATACAGACCCTGTCTATGAAGGAATCTGAGTTTTAGTGCTTATCAGACCAGTTACTGAACTCCCTAGACTATCAAGAAAGTGTCCTATGAACGTTAATAAGCTGGTGGAACTCACAGGGTGCCAGGAACTGCCCTGGACTATTAGCATAGTTACTTGGAGCATAAAGAGGAAGGAATCTCATAGACCCCTCAACATTAAGAGTCAGTAACCCACACTAACAGCTTGGCACAAGAGACATCTTGTCTGCTAAAGGCCAATACATACCATCCACAACCAGGCCTTTTGCAATTGAAGCCCATGTTTAAAACAGTTAATAACCTTGAGCAAGCTACAGCTTGGCAGGTCTCAAGGAAATGAGGTATTCCATACCTGAGGCACCATGTTCTTGAAGGACTCCATGATCTTGGAACTTTTTGCTTCTTGGTAATAAGAGAAACAGCCAGTAATGATAACCACAGCTGCCAACACAACACCCAGGTACAGCTACAAGAAGCAGAGAAAGTGAGTCAGAGGACAATCTGCCTGAAAGGTTTCCAGTTTGTCCAGATGAACTGCTTGGTATTTAAGTGCCCCATTACAAAGCATGGGGGTACTTGCAGTCTCTGTACATTTTGTACACAAAGGCCGTCCACAAGCTAGCGTTGTTAGCACAACATGAAGGAAATTGGCTGTTCATTTCATTATGTGGAAGCACTCCAAGATGTGTTAAGCTCACCCACTGAATTCCCCATGCTTATGGGAAAAGCTTCTGGACTGAATGCTTAGAGGAAGTTAATCTGCTTTGAGCCAAACAGGCTGCTCAGCCTGCCTTTGAGGTGAAACAGACATTTTTACTTACATTATCATTGTTGGGCTCCTCCTCCATCACACTTTGTATGCCGTAAGCCAGGAAACATAGAAGAGCACCAATCCACAACAGGAGTGAGAATCCTCCAAAGAGCTGCCGACAGAACTTGACCCATTCAGGAGTGGTGGGTGGGGGTGTGAGGGAATTTGGGCCATCACGAGCCAAAATCTCAGCTGCACGTGCAGGAGTCAAACCCTAGAAGAGAGGTTCCTTTTATAGGTATTGTGGCAAGACTGACTGGGAAAGGTGGCTCTGAATTTGTTCATGTTCTGCTTGAAAAGGCAGGCAGAGTCCTCCACAGCAATAAGGATATGCCAACAGGTAATGGAGATCTCCACAGCTGCCAGGGCTCTGCAACACAAGTGCAGGATGTGAAAGCTGAATGCCAAAAGAGGAGCTACAGGATGTTGGATGCTACTTGAGGAGCCTGCAGGTCATGGGGCTACAAACATTGAAGAAGGGCATGACAAGAAGGCTACAGCAGCAGACTTTGAGCTGCGAGGAACAGCCCAGTGGAATCCATCCTATCAAATTATGGAACAAGTGAAAGCTGGGGGCCATAAAGATGATGACGCTTTGGATTGGCCTTCCAGGAAGTTCAGCTTTCAGAAGCCAAGGTCTTTGACAGAAATATGCAAATCTCTGTGCTGTTACAGAGTAAGAGCAGACCTGTTGCTATATGCAATCATGCAAAAAACACATTAAGCAAAGCAAACAAGAACAAAGGTGCAAAACCACTGCAGTGCTTCTGCACTGGACTTTGAGGTTAGCTAGGACATTTGCACACCTCTTACTATAAAAGGGTAAAATTTTAACTGCTACTAGCCATCATTAAGTCTCTGGGCATGTGCTAGCTCACTGGACTACATCTGCAATATAACTAACATTTGCCTTTATTACGAGCTCCTCGGAGAAAAAAAAATAAATCCAAGAACCAACTTGACCTTGGAATAATTCAGAGGCAGATTAACAGCGACTTTGTTAGAAACAAAGTCACTAAAGTATTGCAGCCAGGCTGTACAGTGGGAGGACGAAGAGAAGTATTTGTGAGCTCAACAATTCTGCCAAAGCCTGGGAAACTTAACTGGAGGAGGGGAGATTAAGAAAAAAAAACAACCAAAAAACCCAACAGACAACCCAGATCTCCCTTTGCGAAGTGCTCTGAGCTGAGACTGTTCCTTTTCAGATCACGGCAAGGAGGGAGGGAAAACAAAGTCTACCTACCCGACTCAAGTCTGTTCCATATTTACGATGAAGTTCATCAAGGCTCAGCTTGTGGTCATCCTGAAAGACAAGAAATGGTTGTGGGGGAAGAGATCACAGTCCCGGCAGGCTGATCAGCAAGAACTCAGCAATTCTACCCCCTACCCCAGGTTTCCTATCTGTAACAGTTCGGTGAGATAGCAAGACTCTAGCTCATCTTCTCTTGTGAAGAGAATCTCAATCTCATTCTGCAACCCAACGCAGTCTCAACTTTAGTGTTCTTGTGACTATTTAGGTACGACATGACAGCTTTCTAAACAAACTCTGATTATACCTTAGTGCAGTCTTTACGCTCCCAGCAGATTCTGTGAAGCCTCAGTGGTTTTTTTTTTTTGGGGGGGGAGCGGGGACGGGGAGGGAGGAGGGGAAAGGAAAGGAGTTGGGAAGGAAAGTAGGAACGTAAAGAAAATTAACCCTGTAATTTCACACATTTTTAAGTAATGCTGACAGCTTAAGCAGTATTTCTTCCCCCAAAGAGGGGAGGGAGCAGATGCTTTAAGTTAGCATTGCTACTGAACATAAAATCTCATCTTGGAGCAAGCTTTAGTATCCCCTCTCCCTAACAGAAGGGGGCAAAAACATGAGAGCTCAGACTCAAATCCACAGCACAGAAACAAAACCTGTATCACCATCAAGGAGAGCACATCTAAGCTGGATGATGTGCATACACAGACATATAGCACCATCCAGCATTCACAGATGGGGATGGGAGACACTCCCCACAGCCTCAAACATGATTAGAAGGAATAATAATACTGAGGTCAGTCTGAGAAGAGGTCAGCAGTAAATGGAGCTGTACAGACTCAACTCCTCAGCTGGAATGACAACAGCAGTCCCACTCACATGACAGCACAATAAAGCCTGCAATGCTGCTATCCAGACAAGTGCTTGCCTGGGTGAGGAAATGCAGCTCCACTGCGCTGCATGGGTTATGCAGGCAAGCAGAGACTTGGGTTCTGTGTCAAGTGCCTTTTGAGAAGTGATGTTTTCAGGGCTACTTTGTGATCATCCTGATGCTGAAACATTTGCAGCATGTCTGGCTTGGAGACAGAGGGTACCAGAAGGGAGATCAGCACCTTCAGTCACACCATGCTGTCAGCACACCAGCTCTTTTCTTTTAGTCACATGAAGCACAGGGCTTTGGGGTCAGTGAATATTCTTAAAGCTGCTCTTTCCATACCCTACACTCTTACCATTGAGACTTCCTTTTTAAGTTCATCCATGTCCCTCTCCTTCTTCCCCTTTTTCTTCTTTGTGCCATGCTCTGATGTAGCAGTAGGCTCATATTTGTCTCTTCCAGCCTGCAAGAGAAGACACAGTACCATAAGAAACACCTTACAGTCAACTTCTACAGCAGTAGATATGAACTATGCGCATGAGACTGCCAGGCAGACAAAATGATTACAGTTTATTAAAGTTATACCACTTCAATAAATAAAAAAAAAAGCTAGAGAGCAGACAAGTCTGCTCAATAGCATCCCTGATACAAAGATTACAGCCAAATATTGTGCAAGTCTAGCTAGGAAGAAAGCAAGCTACATGCTATTCAGTCAGTCTTGATGTGTGAGCCCCAGCTCAAGCTGAAAAGTGATGAAGAGCAGAAGAAACCAATTCCTGAGTGCATACGTATGTTCCCTTCAAGGCATTAACTCCTCCTCCCCCCCTCTGTCTTCCACATCCTCTGGCAAGAAGCAGCCTATCAACCAAAGATAAATAAGAGGTGGTATCTCTGACTAGTCAAATCTGGGGGATAAGCTCCAACACTTTCATTCTCAGTTTGGCACTCTAGGTGGCTGATTACGCAACAGAAATCTGCTTTCAATTTATGGCAGCTTGACCAGCGAGAATGGTATACAAAGCAGTAGTACACTTTTGCAAATTCAATCTGTGCTCAGTCCTGCTTACACTTCACAGAGCAGATGATTTGCTTAAAGCCTCTTTATTCAGATGGATTTTCATTCACTTTCGTTATGGTTAATTCTACATGAAATCATGCAGAGATTTAGATCTTGTCATGATGGGGTAAACAAGCATCTAAGGACAAAGAAATCATGATGCAGCACATATAAACTCACTTGAAAAGAGATTTAGATCTTGTCATGATGGGGTAAACAAGCATCTAAGGACAAAGAAATCATGATGCAGCACATATAAACATCACTTGAAAGACAAAAAAAAAAGTACAGAAGAGTTACAGGCAGAAATAATCCCGAACTGCAAGAAGTTTGGACACCCTGTAAGGTACCAAAACCAGGCACCAGTACAGCCTCGCAGTGCAGTTCCTCCACTAAGTATGCCATACATTTCCAGACTCTCACAAGCCTCTAATAGCAGCTTTTCCCTCCCTTCTCTTCTTCATGGGACCTATTACATCCCTTCCAGGTTTTATGTGATGACATTTTCACCCAATAAGATCCTCAAGAAGTATTTTGAGAGGAAACAGCAGTTAGTGGCACCAGAGTCAAACCGTTAAGAAGATGAAGAAAAGGTTTCAAAGGCATCACCTTGCTTGATCTTTGCATGAGAACCTCAAATCACAAACTGGATTCCTGAGAGTGATCTGGACACAGAAACTATTGTTAGGATCCAAGACCTGTCCTGTTGAGCAGCAAGCACAGGAAATGTTTATTATTTACTCCAAGGGAAGTAGAAACCAAAACCAAAAGTGAAACTACATGAAAAAAGGAAAAAAAACCCTAAAACCCACAACTTTTCTAAAAGAACCCGTCAGTCACACCTAGACAAGGATTTTTACTGTTCTGAGAAAGCTCCGTGCACACCACTCTGCAGCCAGTTGTACATTTCACATGCACAGAAGCCCTCTCTTGCCCTGTTCAGTAAAGGCAGGCTTTGCATCCCCCTTACCCTTGCATGCAGCTACAGAGCTGTGCAGTGGAAACAGTTTAATAAGTGGAGCGGAGCCAAGCTGTTTGCCTCCTCTTGTCCAGGAAAAGGACACAGAACTACAGACTGTCAGCATTCCTGACATTCTCTTCCCTGCACCTAAACTCTCATTTCACTTCTTAAAAAAAGCAAAAGCCACAGAACTTAAACCAGCATGGTCCTCGCATTCCAGCATCACAAGAATTTGCCACGGGGCAATTCACAAAAAGTCACCATGAAGCATCTCTCTCTCCTTCAGTCTCTGAAGGAAACAACTTTGATTTCTGCTAGAGCTCTAGCAGACAAATCCAAACACAGTGCTGCACAGAACACATGCTTCTTGATTATTGCTTGAGATGAGAAAAAGATTTCTAACGAAGGTGAAGGAGCTGGTGCCTTGACTAGCAGTCCATCACCTTCAGCTTCACCCCTTCCCCACAGAGCAAGCTCTTGCAGGTGATCTAAAAGCCTCCTGGTTCTTTGAAACTTCTGTAAGAAGCACAGTTAGTTTATCGGGGGCAGTGGTGAACAGCCCAAGGATGTAAGAAAGTTTAGCTCTTTCAGCTGCAGAGACAACCTACAAGTGGGCAAACATGAAAAGGCTCACTGCCCTTGTTCAAACATGATTTGCTTAAAAAAAAAAAACTGAACAGAAACCCAGCCATCAGTTGCAGTCAGGATAAAAAGCGGCTAGTTACTCATTTCCTTAAGCACCCAAGTATGGGGTCTTAACTGAGTCCATCTTACCAAGGAGCTCAGAGTTCCTCAGTTAAAAAAAAAAGCACGCTGTCTTCCCTTCTCTTGCTTTAGTACCACCCATACAGAAAAGGTAAGTAAGTAGCATCAGTTTCAGCTCTTGCTATAGGATCATTTCACACAGTCTGCACTTCCTGCTCCATCATTCAAATTTGAACGTGACACATAGATCAGAGTCAAAGTCCTGCCCCAGTTCTCTGCCTTCAGGGCCATTGCCTCTCTTCTGTTCAACAAAGGCTTGTGTTGGCTGGGCTGCAAGGGGACAAGGGGTTCATCCCACCCCTCAGCGCTGTAGGATTTCCCTGCTCTCCCCTCCTTTTCCTGCCATACAATGAGAAGGCAGCCTACGGTACTCCAGATCCACATCTTACCGAGAATTCATCACATGGCCTGAACACAAAGGAAGGTCTGTCTCATCAGAAATGTCACCCCTGTTACTTGACTTAGCCTAGGAACTCTGACTCATCAAAACTGCCACAGAAAAAGCAACACAGCTTTTTTTTTTTTCCATGCAAGATTTCCTCCCCCCACTCTTTGGCTTAAGCACAACATTTGTACACACCAGTGTAAGAAGTTTACTATAGCCCTCAGAAAATCCTATTGTCTTTCAGACACAGCTTATGCTTTTCCGCTCTGGACTAATCGAGCCATTCATGGCTGATGTTCTCAACACAAGCCATGACTGACCAGGAAACAGGAGAGGTGCAAATCAGCAGACAAGCTCAGAAGTACCCTATTCTAACATCACCTAATCCAAGAAGAAATGTCAAGTAAGAGCCAAAATAAATTATACAGTCTCTGGAGGCCCGGTCTGTTCTAGTACTTATGTCATTATAATCAACTGTGCAGAGAAAACAGAAAAGTTACTGTCCTGTTGCCTCGTGAGACAGTCTTCAGTAAATATATTAGCCAGATGAGTCATGACACGGACTATGCCTATTGGACTGGAAACACCGCTCCATGACCCTACGTAATCTTGGCAAGGGACGCGAATGCCTTCTCTGGATCCTTCTTACTCCCTCCAAGAGCTGCGTTCAATCTCCTATCTTTAATCAAAAGTCTAATCAACTGCCTCAATTGAACAGACTCTCAGCATCCAGGACAGTACAAAGCAGTTTTTACTCAACAGCTAGTGATTGCTCATTGTGAGCAGACTGCTGCTTCCCAAATTATGGAAGGACAAGCTCTCCTCCCATGACAAGGGATCTAAATCTTGCAAGGGTTTTCATCACCAGGGTAAAAATGGGACCACCCACACACATTAAGTCTTCTCTGGATATTAGGACAAACATCTCAACTTCTTGTGGAGCTCCTTGAAGACCCAAGTGCAGAGGTGGCTTTCCAAATGCCACCGCTGAGCAGCCCTTCCTGGTTTTTCGGTGCTGTACCAACTACAGCATGTCATCTACCACACTTCTTTGCCTGGACTATTAGTGCATCTTTACCATCAATCCAGAAATCTCTAGTAGTTGTCAAGCACATGAAGATGAGTGGACTAGACAGTTCTCCCCTAGAGGAGCTGGTGACTTCAGCCACCCCTTGAAAAGGCCTGGGTGAAGCATGACCTTCTGCAGTTTTCAGCAGGTCAGGATCCTACTGGGTTGTGGGATCGCAATCTGCAGGTACAGACCACTTGCCAGAGACCCTTCCTCCTATTACACAGCTTTTGCAAAAGCATGCATTGACTAGGCCCAGGGTTTTCTTTGGCAAAAGGAGTATGCTCTAGCCATAGTAATAAAAAGTGGGAATGAAAAAGATGGGGAAGGAGGGAGAGCAATATATTAAGATTTCTTAATTGCACCAGATGATTGCTTTGATTTGCATAATTTCCCCTCAGTTGGTCCATTACGCAATAAGCCTTCCTAGTTTCTGACAGGAAAAACACCCTTAACTGGGGTTCAGGCATTAGCACTGACCTCCAGAAGCAACTCAAAGCGTGCACTAACGACTGTGTGCTACGTGACTGTGGCAAGGGAGATGGAGTGAAGCATGCTGCTTCCAGGCAGCTCTGAACAGGAATGAAATCCCATCTACTTTCCTCCACTATGCACACCCCTTTGGATAATCTGCTTTTTGGGCTGAACAACATACCCAGGCAGCTCATGGCCCTCCCCTCATCCCGTTACCATTTAAAGTAAAACAGATGCTCCACTCGGCTTCTCACAGCTGCAAAGACAAGGAACTTGTTCTCTCACACTTACACTCTTACTTTCTCTTCCATTCCACGCTCCCATGGGAAAGAGGTTTCCTTTTCAGGCACCCTAACTCAGGGCAGGCACATGCTGTTCAGTGTTGCAACCACACACTGCCTTTTTCACAGCCTTGCTCTCTCACATCCCCATTCTTTAAGGGGTCCCCAATTACCACATGTGCTCTCACCACTAAATGAACAAATCTTGTAACTTGCTACCAGAAAGCCTGAGGCAGCCGTACACTGTTGCATTATCCCCCATGTTGGCATTTCGGTTTCAGGCCAATTGCTTTATTATCATCCATGCAACATATGAAATGGAAGCAAGACAGCTAACAGCCTTCTATATTAGAAAGTGTTTGCACCTCCCATTAGTCCAGCCAAGGCAGCCTAAGCCCCCAAAGCCTTTTGCACTACAGTCATACATACACACACAACTCTAAGGCTTCTTTGATGATTTAAAGCA